AATGGGGGAGATCCAAACTGAGCACGTTGCTATGCTTTCACAAAGCTACGTAACAATTTCTCTCTCAATCTAATTTAAATGTTGTATTTTAGTTTGACTGACCAATAGGTTCCCTCTCGCTCTCTACATTTTCATCCAAGTTGCGATCTCCGTCGCTTCGATCAAGTTTGCAACACAAGAGAAATCTCAGGGGAGGCCCTCTCTTCTACCAGTCCAATCCCAAAGAACAAGGGGAAGACCAACAACCTTTTGATAATTTAGCAGCATGTTTATCAAGTACAGACTTAAATTCTAAACAGCTTGTTTAAGAATCTGATTTCTCTCTTTTTTTTGGTGAGGCAATCGGGGTTAAGTGACTTGACCAGGGTCACACAGCTAGTTAAGTGTTAAGTGTCTGTAGCTTTATTTATTTATTTTTTTAGTGTTATATTCACATCATTTATTTTGATTATCACTTTGCTTCTTTTTTTTTCTTTTCTTTTGTTTTTAGCTAGGCAATGGGGTTAAGTGACTTGCCCAGGGTCACACAGCTAGTAAGTGTTACATGTCTGAGGCTGCATTTGAACTCAGGTCCTCCTGAATTCAGGGCTGGTGCTCTATCCTCTGCACCATCTAGCTGCCCATTTCTCTCTTTTTTAGAGCGGTATTCTAGAGGGAATGTGGCATATTGGAAAGAGTACTTGGAGTAAGGAAAGGCTTGGGTTTAAATTTCAGCTCCAACAGTTACTAGTTGTGTGACCTAGGCAAATTCTTTTGCCCCTCTGAGTCTCTACTCCCTCATCTGTAAAATGGAGACAATCATATTTCTATTACCTACCTCAAAGAGTCGTTGTGACCAAAACACTTTGTAAAAATGAGAGCTATTGCTAATAAACCCCTATTTGTACCCTGCCTCCTGAATTTCAACTGTGGGTTCAAAAGAGAAGAGTGTTTCTAAATATTATTCCCTTTAGTTTTCTTCTTTCAATGAATCCTTTCCCTTTGCCTTCTTTTACAGCTTCCCTCCTCCTAGTTATCACCTGCTCATTTCAGCTACCACCCTATGATATACTAATACAAACCTTCTAATACTACGGAGCTCACAGGCCAGTTGGGCCTCCAGGAACACTTAACTTCTCCCTTCTCCTTCCTTGGTTCCAGGAGGGCGAAGGCTTAGTTGAGTCCCTTTCAGAGACCAGATCTGGAAGGAGTCCCTTTCAGAGACCAGATCTGGAAGGCACCTCACTCCAAAATCTCTTGCTGACTGTGCCTAATTTGTCCAGTGTCACCACCCTAACACCTCAGGGATTTGTTACTGCTGAGTGCCTAGGTACTTGAGAAATGCCTAAGTGGCAGTAGGCTGTAAAGCAAAACAAGCAGATGCAAAACTTCCTATATCCTGTGCTTGTAATCACTGTGTGAATAAATAACAACAGCTCAACCCCCAGCAACTACCCAGGGCCCAAGACTGGATCTGGAAGCCTCCCTGACCCAAAGTCTCCTGCCTACATTTGGGCCTTCTTAATCAGCTTCTTCAACCCTCAGGACTCATGCCTTTACTTCACCCCAGCTGCCCATAGGGATGGTCATGCCTTGAGGGCATCATTACCCATCAATATCCCACTTCTAGGATCTGGAACCATAATATCCCCCTCTCGTATTACATCTTCCCCCATCTTCCCAAAGCTCCTTCTCTGCCACAATCTTCTAAAACTGATTTTTTTATTAAAAATATTATTATGACTCAAGAAACAGCAACAAACAAATGTTTATAAATTTCAATATACAAAGAATAAAAAATGTGAAATTATGAGCTTGTTAGGTACAGTTTGAGGTTTTAAGTATATGCTAAGTTTAAATCCCCTTGTTTGTTCTGTGAAGTTTGGATTCAGTTAAAGGGCCACACTTAAGGCCACATGTGGCCTTGAGGCCACAAGTTCCCCATCCCTGGAACCAGTTCAACTATACTGGATCCTCTATCTTGGAAACTCTTTTCCTGTGGCTATTCACATCTTGGAAACTTCCAAACTTCAGTTACTACACCATTTGCCTTTTTCAATCCTACTCCTAAACACAGTGGAAAGAACTCACCTTACTGTACTGACTAGGGGTAAATGTTTAATAAATTTAAAGTACCTAATCTCAACTGTGCTCTCACAACTGACTTTCTACTCTACTCCTCCCACAGCTAATCCAAATGGAACACAAGTACTCTGGCATTTCCTTTTCGCCTCAAATCCTCCTATACTACTGCACTCTCCTCTCTTAGCAGGAGAGCTTACCTCTTACTCTACTCAAAAAGTTGAGGCCACTTCAATGTTCTTCTTTTCCTCTACTCCACACCTCAAAACTCTTCCATCATCACCCATTCTCTCCTTCTTTACTCCAATCTGTGACAAAGAGGTGGTCTTTCTCCTTGCTAAAATCCACCCTTACTCACAGCCTCCATCTTATTCTCTCTCTTCTCTAGAAGTTGCTCCTTCAATCAATGCCTCTTTCCAATCTGCAATCTCTTCTTATAATGATAATAGCTAACATTTACATAGACTTTTAAGGTTAGCAAAATGCTTTATACATGTTATCTCATGATCTACTGGCTACATCTCTATTGCCAACAAACATGCTCAGGTCCCCTCCATCTAAAAAAAAAAAATCTTTACTGGACCCTCCAAACCTCATATTTTGATCCTGTATTTCCTCAAAACTCCTCAACCCCCACCCCTCCTCTGCAATCTGACTTACAACTCTGCCATTCAACCAAAACTCTCTCTCCAAGGTTACCAAATAATCTCTTAATTGTTAAATTTGAAGGTTTTTTCTTAGTCCTCAACTATCTTGGCCTCTCCGCAACTTTTTAAAAAAATGAATTGTATTTTATTTTCAGGCTCACATTCTCTCCTAACCACCTCCAACTTTCCTCTCCCCCGTTAAGAAAACAAACAAAACGAAACAAACTCATTACAAACATGTGTAGTCAAACAAAACAAATTCCCGTATTGCTATGCAAAAAAATAAAGGAAATATTTCTCAATCTGCACTCTGAGTCCATTACTAAAAATACGTATGGTCAAGCAAAACAAACTGTCACTCTGGCTATGTGCCCCACTCCCAAAAATAAGGTTTGTCTCAATCTCTCCTCTGAGTACATCACAGTGGACAGCATGTTTCATCATAAGTCCTTTGGAACTGTGGTTGGCCATTGTGCTTACCAGTTCCTAAGTCTTTTGAAGTTGATTATCTTTACAATGTTGCTATCACTATACAAATTGTTCTCCTGATTCTGCCCATATCACTATGTATCAGCTCACATAAATCTTTTCAGGTTTCTCTGAAACCACTCCCTTCATCTTTTCATACATAAAAATATATGAAATACAGATCATATATGTATATACATATATAATAACTTGTTACACTATTCCCCAATTGAAGAGCAACCCCTCGGTTTCCAAATCTTTACCACCATGAAAAGAGCTGCAGCAAATATTTTCGTACATATAGGTCTTTTTTCCTTTGATCTCTTTGGGGCACAAACCTAGTAGCAGTATTGCTGGGTCAAAGGTATGTGCAGTTTAATAGCTTTGGGGGCATAGTTCCAAATTGTTTTCCAGAATGGCTGAACCAGTTCACAATTCTACCAACAGTACATTAATATGCCTGTTTTCCCACAGGCCTTCAACATTTTTTGTTTTTCTTTTTTGTCAGCTCTGTAGAGCTAACGGGTACAAGGTGGTACTTCAGTTGCATTTCTCTGATTAATAGTGGTTTAGAGTAGAGGCGGCAAACTCTCTAGGACCAACCAAATTAAAATGTTTAACAAAATAATTAAAAATATAACACAACACAGATAATGTTAATTTGTGCTTTTCCAAGTCAATTTGCTAACCCCAGGTATCATTTCTATTTGAATTTAGCATCATTGATTTACGGCATTTTTCACCTGGCAATTAATAGCCTGGATTTCTTCTTATGTAAATTATCTATTCACAATTTTCCATTTTCTAAAGTAGTTAGACAATAAATATTAAGCATTAATTAATTAAGTCAATAAACATTAAGTGTCAGGTACTGTGCTAAGTACTGGAACAACAACAAACAATATTTTTTCTTTTTTAAAAGATGGGGTCTCCCTATCTCACTCAGCCTGAAAGGGCAGGGGGTACTACGGATAAGCATGAAAGTTTGACTTGCTCTATTTTTGACAAGGGCCAGCTTGCCCTGCCTTAAGCGATCTGGCAGACTCCTACTCCTAAGGGCTCATCATATCAAAACCAACTTAGTTGGACAACCAGTCAGCCTTGTCTCCAGGACCTCAGTATCTCTAGTAGCAAGGATTAGAGGCAGCAAAGATTAAAAACAAAGATGTTACATAACACCCGAAACAAATTTGTGTGTGAACAATAATCCCCAATTATTTGGTTTATAATTTTAAAATTTTCAATTATTGGATTTTCTCAAAGCAGGGAACATAAATTTGTATGTAATTAAAGCCATATATATTCATATTGCCAATTATTTCTATTGTTGTTGAGTCATTTCAGTCATATCCAACTCTCTAAGGCCCCATTTGGAGTTTTCTTGGCAAAGATATTGGAGATGCTTTTTCCAGGTCCTTTTACAGATGAGGAACTGAGGCAAATGGGGTTAAGTAACTTGCCCAGGGTCACTAGTAAGTATCTGAAGTAAGTGTCTGAAGCTGGATTTGAACTCAAGTCCTCCTGACTTCAGGGCCCAATCTCTATTCATTGAGCCACCTAGCTGTCCCTAATTATTTCTATAGTTATTCTATTAACAGCCAGATGTCCTCATGGTGAGACTTGCCTACAAAGAATTTCTACACATGTAATCCTAAAAGTATATTCACAAATTCACCTCTGGGTAATTATAAGTTTCTTTTACCTGGTGAAAGAATTAAAGCTGAGGAGACATTTGGCAGACTGGAAATAGAAGGTATTTCATATGAAATGAAATACTGTACCTATGTGATCTGAAAAACTGTAACAATGATTAGAGTGACTTACCATTTTCTTTAAGTCTACTCAAATTTCCTTTTAAAGCCTCAATTTCTAGTTGGGCTGATTCCAAGGCAAGCTCTAAAAGAAAAAGAAATACAGAATACTTAGGTACCAAATTAGTATATGTAGTCACCAAATTTCATTCCTTTGCATCTTCAAAGGTAAAATGTAAGGTGCTCCAATGGAGAAGACTAAATAACCAAAAAAAGTCTTCAGAAATATAATAAGCATAGTCTTTATCTAGATTGTGCTAAATATTCAGAATTGCACAAAAAAACCCCAAAGTGTAAAACTACAAATAATCTAAAAATAAATAACTTTAACAAGCACTATTAAGTACCTATTATGTGCCAGGGATTACAATAGGCACAGGGTATACAAAGACAAAAAATAAAACTGTCCCTGATCTCAGACTATGTTATATCGGACCTCAGTATTTAATTAAGCACTGCCTTGTATTACATTTTTTCATATTTAAATGTTTCATATATGTACATCTTATCTTACTAATTCTGAGCACAAGGGCAGGTATCATTTTAAAAATAACAATAACAACATATTTACGTGGGCCTTTAGGATTTATAGTTTTTTTAAACACAATTATGTGAGGCCAATAACACACAATATTATAACCCCTCTCTTACAGATAAAGGATTTTGGGCTCAGAGAACTGACTTGTCCATAGTTATAGGAGTGCTAGAAAATATTTTTACATGTCAGAGGAGGGACACATACCCAGTCTTCTAACTCCAAGAATAGCACTTTTTCTACAATCAGTCCTTTTACATTCTCTTCCCGTCCCCCCATATCTCATAGCCTGAGCACATCGTATCAAATGAGATATTTGTCAAGCACTTTGTAACCATAAAGTGCCATATTAAATATATTCTATTATTACTATTGGTATATTGGTGTTTAAAAAGTACTACTTAAATAAATGACTGAGCAAAATAATCAGCTTATATATTAGTCTGTGTATCCCCCCCCCAAAAAACTGAATAAACACCAAATTTGTATCCATCTATTTTGGAAGTCCCCCCCTTGGGGCTCAGATATCTTGTCTGGGGACAGAGTGAGAGCATATCCAGCTGGCTGCAGAACCCAGACCAAACCATTCTTCACCTTTACATCTCATCCAGTCACCCATTCAGGCCATCTTGCCATTGGAGTGTAAAGCCCATTCTCTCCCACCCTGCCCCCACCCCCAACTGTTTCTAGAAAACACATGTAAGTTGGCTGTCCTATGTCACAACTCACCACCTCTATGACTACCCACACCATAACTCCCTTCCCTGGGCACCATGCCCTATATATGCTTTCTTCTTCCATTAGAATATGAGTTCTATAACATCAAGCAGGGACTGCTTGCTTTTTCATTTATACCATAGTACTTAGCACAGTGCTTGGCACATTGTAAAAGTTTGATTAATAAATGTTTCTTCATTCATTCACATCTTTCAAAGTAAGATCATAATTTATGGCACATAGAAGGCATATTTTCTACTATATTCATCAAAAGTCTCATAGACCATTAGAAGGTTCAACACGCAGAAACAATGTGACTATGGAAAAACTGAAAACATTTTAAAACGTTACTTTTGAAGACTAAAACAAATAAAATACATTAGGTAAACCAATTGAATTGAACAATGTATTGAGTCAGTTTGAAATCTCTTTATAACCTGGCCCCTTTCTACCTTTCCAGTCTTCTCCCTTCCTTTCTCCTTTACACACACTCTTGTGATTCAGCACTCCTGGCCTACTCACTGCTCTGGACACATGCTCTCCCTCTCCCATCTCAGCGTCTTTGTACTGGCTGTCCTCTATGCCTGGAGTGTACTCTCTCTTCACCTATGTCTCTAGGAAACCCTAGTTTCCTCCAAGAATCAGCTTGAGACACCTTCTACATGAAGCTTTTCTTGATCTCTCCAGCTGCCAGTGCTGACCATCTCAAAGCCACCTCATGAGCATTTTGTATATGTTTATATGAGTACAAATTGTCTCCGCATTACGATGTAAGCTCCTTAAGGGCTGGGATTGTTTTTGCCCTTTTTTTGTATGCCCTCGCCCTTCCTTCCACATTCCTGGTTACCTGACCCATAGTAAGCGCTTAATAGCTGCTTGTTGATTGTTACACAGGGAACTCCTTGATGACTGGGAGCCATCACTTCTGTCTTTGTATCCATAGCCTTTAGTACAATGGCTGGCATATAGTAAGGGCTTAATAAATGCTTGTTGCTTGATTGTATTTGCAGATAGGGAAGATAAAATATTTAGCTAAGAAACAGTCCCTGTAACTCCACGAGGGAGCTTACAGTCTAGTCCGGGATAAGGGTATAGCTAGAGATGTGTGTGTGTGTGTGTGTGTGTGTGTGTGTGTGTGTGTGTGTGTGTGCAGCACGTATATATATACACATACACACATATATGCAATTATGATACAAAATAATACATAAGTGCATACAAGAAGTGCTAATGAAGGGCTGTATGAAGTCTAAAAGAGGGAAAGGTAGGTCTTCACTAATTGGGGGGAGGATAAATATAAGACAGACTATTTAGAATCTTAATATGCAAAAAACATCAGTTATGGCTCAGCCTAAAAAAGTGACAAGTAGGGGCAGCTAGGTGGCACAACGGATAGAGTACTGGCCTTAGAGTCAGAGAGGACCTGAGTTCAAATCCAGCCTCAGACACATAACACTCACTAGCTGTGTGACTCTGGGCAAGTCACTCAACCCCAACTGACTCACAAAAAAAAAATCAATAATAAGTGACAAGTAGTTAAAGAAATAGCTTTTACTGATTTTAAGAATCAGATAACCTCAGGAATTAATCTCTCAAATCATAGCTATTATCCTACTCTTTAATTGTTAAAATAAACCTGTTTTGTAAAAAATATATTTTAAATCAAATTGCAATGGTAAAGGTGAATAGAAATAAGTAATTTGCATTAATATATTATAAAAATTAGTAGTTTTAAAAACAACTAAAAACTTTGTGTTAGTTGTTTTAAAAATGCCTAAGAACTCATAATAAAAGATACTATCCACCTAGAGATAGACAACTGATAGACTTTGAGTGCAGATTTAAGCATAACAGAGAGATTTTGGAACTGAAAATAAAAATTAAAAATTTTTTCAAAAACAAAAAAATAAAAAGCCCTAAGAAAAGCTAAATTCTTGTTAGCTCTGTATAAAGCAGAAATCTCAAAGCAGTTTTTATAAAAGTATACTTGTCATTAGCTCAACCAATAAAGTCAATACAAGTCAGACTGTTGCATTAATCACAATAATAATAGCTAGCATTTATATAGCTCCTTAAGATTTGCAATGTGCTTTATAAATATTATTCTCATGACAATCCTGGGAGGTAGGTGCTAAATTTATTATCGATAATATTATCATAAGAAACAAATCATTTACAATTAAATAATGAAAATTAATATTAATAACAGCATTTGTACATGTTTTAAAGTTTACAAAGCACTTTCTATTATCTCATTTGATCCACACAACAACTCGGTAAGATAAGTACTATTCTTATCCTCATTTTACTGATGAGGTCACTGAGGCTCTGAGGTTCAGTGACTTGCCCAGGGATCATCTGAGAGAGGTTTTGAACTCAGATCTTCCTAACCCCACTCAATCTAACCCTACACTTGATCCAGCATTTCATCAAAGAGCAATCATCTTTGGAGTCTAAAATTGGATATGACATAGAAGCCCTTTAATATGTAATCAAGCATCAGCCTGAAACCCTCTACACTGAGGACTCCCCTGAAACCTCTAACTTAAAAGGAAGTTGAAAAGGAATCCAGCTCTCTTCTGTGCTGAAACTGTTCCGGAGAGCAGTATGCACAGACAGTTCTTGAATACAGGAACATCAACGTGGCAGCTTTTCTCTCGGGAAAGTTGTGACCTATGTGAAGGTCACTGAGTCTACCCCAGAGACACAAAATGTGCACTCTTCTGTAATCCATTTTATGAGGTTAAATCAAAGCCCCAATTCTGGAAAAATTCTTTATCCCAAAAAAGAATCCTAGAGCAAAACAATTTGTAAGATCTGTCTGTAAAAGAACATGCTAGATCTCTGTGACTTCTTGAAATTAGTCTCCTTATTTTATAGAGATACTTTACAAATATGAAAAGAACTTTAACAATAACTTAGGAAACAAAAAAAAGCTTAATCAAATTAAATGAGCTGTTTCAAAATATCAGAAATCAGTCGGTGGAAGAGACAGATCCAACTCCCAGCAGCTCCCAAAGAAGTGATGAGTGTGACTGTGTATGGCAGCCATGAGTGCTTGGCCTCCCATGAGCACAGGCTCTCATGGGCAGTCCTCAGACTCTCTTCAGTTTATCAGAGGACACTTTTCCCTCTGTTTTCATGTTGCAAAATGAAAATTATTTTGACAAAGATTCATTACAATAGTCAGAGATGATGTTTTTTAATAAATCCCAAGTTTACCGAGTTTATCGTGTTCTTTTTCCTTTGTATCTAGTTTTTTGGTCAGTCTACAGATCTCTTCCTGGGCTTCCTGTAACCTTCTGGCTGCTTCTTCCTCTACATTCCTCTTGAGGTTCCCTTGTACTGTTTTCTCTTTCTCTAGTTCTTCATTAGGGGGCTGAAATACAGATACTATTAATAGCAGAACAAAAAGCAAATTTACTTTCATTGTACAGTATTCCTTCTATCAGTGCTCAGTAGTACAGAAAGGAAGAAAAATAAGTATTTAAATGAAAACCATTTCTGCCCATAGAACAAAGAGATGCAGTCTCTGCTGGAATACCTCCCGAAAAAGGGGGTCCACAGCCTGTTAAGGCAGCCCAAGCTCTCTGGAACTGACCCTTAATCCACCTCAAGTCTGCTTCCTTCTTGCTCCTGGTTCTGTGCTCTGGGGGCCAAGCAGAACTCCCTTTAAGTCCTTTCACTACTTTGTGTCCCCTTTCTCTTTTCAATTCAATAAACATTTAATGACTACTAAGTATGAAATATGGTGCCCAAGCAGAGGAGAGAAAGATAAAACCTAAAAGTCTCTATCCTCAACAGGCTTACATTCTATTGAAGACTATAACATGTACACAGATAAATAAATACAAGGAATTTGAGGCAGAGTACTAAAAGTCAGTGGATGTAAAAAGTTGCCTCCCTCCTCTACTCTACATGTGTCATGTACTTATTTATGCATGCACATATAGCCCACATATCCTTGAGAGCAGGGGCTCTTGTTACTTTTCATTATTCACATCCCCTCACCCCAATTAGTTCAGGACCTGACACAGTCTGTGCTTATGGGATAACTTGATGAAGCTGCAGAGGTAAGTTGGGGCCACACTGCCGAGGGCCTTATTGTACTGGAAGCCACCAGGGGCCACCAAAGGTTTTTAGCAGAAGGATGCTATGGTCACTTAGGCAGCCTAAACATGTCTATGACCCTTCAGCTGATCCCTGTTCTTCATGGCATTGAGGCCTTTCACAATCCTGGTCACCCTCCTCTGGATAGACCCCCAGCTTATTAATGCCTTTCTTAAAAGGTAGCACCCATAAGAGAATACAATGTTCTACATATGGTCTGACCAGGGCAAATACATTGAGAAGCTTAATTATTAGAATGTTAACTCCTCCATTAGACTGGAAGCTCCCTGAGAAGTACTGTGTCATTTTTATTCTTTACATCCTCCAAAAACCAAAACAGTACCATGCACACAACAGACCTATAACAAATGTTTGTGGAACTGAATTGAGTATCTGGACATTGCTTCTATTAATTCTACCTAGGCTAGGCCAGGGAAAGCCTTGGAAAGGCCTACAAAAGCTGGACAGGTTGTGTGTCTGTTGACTGAAGATCAGCCTAACTAATTTTGTGAAGGCTTATCTAGTACACATAGAGTAAAGAACTTTTCAGCCACAGCAACTTTTGAGGGCCATTTACTGCTAAGTTATATACATATACATACATACATATATACATACATATATATGTATATGTATATATATGTATGTGTATATATACATATATATAAAGAAAGTTGTAATCCTTATCAACAGATCACATTACACTCCATTAAAATTAGAAATCTTTGAAGTATTGAAGAAGGTTGCCACATCACACTGCTGATTCAACTGGGTCCACTAAAATCCCCAGGGACTTTTTCACATGAACAATTTTCTAACCATACCTCTCCCGTGCCTATTTTTTTAAATCAGAGTAAGTCTTTACATTTTTTCTTATTAATTTAATATTATTAGATTTAGAACACTGTTGTAGCCTGTCCAGATCTTTTTGAATCTTAACCCAAAGTGTTGGCTAATCCCTCATAGATTTATTTCACCTGCAAGTTTTATAAGCCTTTCATCTATGTTTTCATCCAAATCACTGGCAAAAATATCGAAGAGAACAGGGCCAAGTTCAACATCTTATGTCATTCTACTGAAGACCCTCCCACTTTCCACCCCTCTAGCTTGCAATACTTCCATTTCTTAACTCATTCTAGATCTGGTTCAACCAGTTCTGAATTCACCTAATTGTAGATCCATTATCAAAACCATATTACAAGTAAGGAGGTTATACATTTATTCACTGATGTTGCCATTGCTTGAAACATGTTTAAAACTCTTCTAGAATTACCTTCAGAAAAACAGTATCATCGTCTAGTTGTATAACCTTCAGTTGGCAAGAGCTGGCATGGTAGGTGGCATAGCATTACTACAAAATGAGATAACCTATGCTGTGGGCTACAACATGCACTACTTTGGGTTCACACTTTGTGTGACTGGTCATTATTTTTACAGGTATTTGGAGGGGTTTGGGGGGGAGCTCAAGCAAGTCACTGCTTTCATCCATCATCTTGGCTCTGCCCCCAGTGTGGTTCTTTAAACCTGGTTCTGTAGAGACTGCATTGGACTTTGGATACCTTAGTCCTCAGCTCAGACTACGTCTTCCTTCCACCTACTCTTTGATCCAATGATATCAGTTGCCTTGTTGTTCCTCCAATATAACACCACATGTCCTGACTCCAAGTATTTTCACTGGCTGTCCCCCATGCCTGGAACACTCTCTCCTCTCTGCTTCAGGGATTCCATGGCTTCCTTCAAATTTCAGCTAAATATTACCTTCCACAAGAAGCCTCCCCCAGTTCCTCTTAATGCTAGTTAGTGCCTTCTCTCTGTGATTATCTCTAATTTATCCTGTATGGAAATCATGCCTGCACATAGTAATCTGCATGTTGCCTTCCCTGTTAAATTCTGAGTTCCTTGAGACAGGGACTATTTTTTGCCTTTCTTTGTATCCCAGTGTTTAATACTGTGCCTAGTACATAGTAGGTGCTTAACAAATGCTTGTTGACTTGACTTCCTTCCTAACACCCTGGATCTTCTATCTTAGAAATTCCTGAGATCTGGGATAAGGCATTATATTTAAGAATGCTCTCTCCTATTAATCCTGGGCACACCCTAGGCTTTGCCCTCCTTTTCTCTCCATAGGAAAGCAGGGCAAACACGTGGACAAACACATAATCCTTGTCCTGACAATGGCATACCCTTTGCTGTCATTCATGTTCTCATCTCACTACTTTTTCCAACTAAGCTTGCTTTTTGGCTGTTCTTCACACGTGATGCTCCATATCCCATCTGCTGGACTTTGCAAAGAGGTCCCACTGATGAGAATGTACTCCTTCCTCCCCTATATCTCTTAGAATACCTACTTTCCTTTAAATCTCAGCTCAAGTACCACCTTCAAGATGAGACTTGTCTCATCCCGTGTTCCCCCTCTCCAACTAGCTTGTATTTGTTTAAAACATAACTCTATGTAAATATGTTGTCTCCTATGGGCAAAGACCATTCCATTTTTATCTTTGTATTGCCCCAGAGCCTTGCACAATGCCTAGCACATAGCAGAGACACTTATCCAATGCTTGTTGATAGACTGATACTCTCAGTAGGAAGACAGGAACCTAGAGGTCAAAAATAAGGTGTGTTTACAGTAGCTAGGTGGCGCAGTGGATAGAGACTGGCCCTGAAGCCAGGAGGACCTGAATTCAAATCCGGCCTCAGACCAAACACTTGACACTTACTAGCTGTGTGACCCTGGGCAAGTCACTTAACCCCAATTGCCTAAAAACAAAAACAAACAAACCAAAAAAAAAACCCAACAAGGTGTGCTAAGCCACAAATGAGCCAAATCACAAAGAAAACTGTCATCTTCTAGACAAGGTAAAAGGTAACGAAGGAAAAGAATGGACAGCTCTGGAAGCTCATGGAATTGACTTCCTTGATCATCATCAGAACAATGAGTTTCATAAGACAATCTGCAGATCTGACAGAGAACCTCCAGGAGTTTCTTTGGTAAATAATACTATTTCTGTACCTTCACCTGCGGAAATTCTTCACATCCTTGACCAAAGTGGCCTTTGTAAAGTAAAATCTGATAGCATCCACTAGGGGCAAACCTTCTCCATAGGCCCCATCTCTCTATTAGTTAATATTGAGGAGGTTCTTCAAATTTAGGGAAACTTCTGACATACTTCTCTAGAATGTGATACAACAGCAGTATTAACACTCCTCCAAGCTGAGGAACTGCTGTAGGCTTTGTATGGAAGTGGGCATCCATTTATGGTCCCTTGACCCATGATCACAGGAATCAGAGATTTAGAGTTGGAAGAGACCTAAGTCCAATCCCCTCATTTCACACATAACGAAAAATAGGCACAAAGAGGTTAGAGAACTTGTTCAAGGCCATACAGTTAGAAAGTATCTGAGGTAGCTTTTGAACCCCCCCCCCATTTTTCTGATTCCAAATCTAGAGCCCTATCTACTCCATCACACTATTGTGGGAACATGGGTGGTGATGTGCTGCCTGGCTAATTCTATGAATAAAGCTAAATCCTCCAAAAATTGCTCTTTCAGGACAGGGCATTTACCTAACTTAGACTCCAGGAGGATCTGACATATCCTATTGTGGTCCCTTGTTTCTGCTAGAGCCAGCAAACATACTGATTCACATCTTTAGCCCTAAGGCGAGAGAGGTCAAAAGTTTTCTTGAGCTCCTAAAGAAACTCCTTCACATTGTCCAATAGAAAGTTATTTCCAGTGAAGTACTGGGGACACAATGGACAATCTGAAATTCAATGAAACTCAAATTGCCCTGCTGCATGGGGAATCCCCAGGAGAAGAAGCCTATGAACAACTGGTATTAGAGTCCAGGAGCTCTGAGGAGATCCTTTGTCCATACAGTGAAAATGTCTGGGGGTTCTAGATGATATATGAACAAATTTTAAGTACTGAGTAAACTGGGAGTTTTCTGCCTTCACGTATTGCAGACTCCTCAGTAGCCTGGGACAGCAGCTTCTCTTGAGGTCTCTGGAGCCCTCTACTGGGAAGCCTGGAGTAGAGCAACTGCCACTGTTGACTATAAGCAATTTGGGAGTCAGATAATGCTCATATCCAACTGGAAAAAAGGGTTCACATTCCAGCCCTCTCACACTCAGGGGGAGTATGTCTCTACATGTATGAGCCCAAAGAAGAAATGAAGCTAAAATGAGAAATAATCCTAAAAGCCAAGATGATTTAAATTCACAGTGTATAGAGAAGATACAGGTCAGAAAATCCCTAACAGATAAGGATGCT